TACATGTGTGTTATGTCAGAGTTTGGTTGTTTTCACTGAGGAAATCAGCCACTGAGAAGGTTGGAGGTTTACAGGAAACACTGGCTCTTTGCTTTGGTACTGACTGGGTTTAGTACAATACTGCTGAGGCAGCAGGGAATGACTGCAACCCTCTACTCACCTCAGAGTCTCCAGTCGACAGTGTGGACTCTGCACTAGATCACACAGCTGCTTCACTCCTGGATCCTGCAGATTGTTGTCACTCAGGTCCAGTTCTCTCAGATGGGAGGGGTTGGACTTCAGAGCTGAGGCCAGAGAAGCACAGCTGGTCTCTGACAAACTGCACTTCTCCAGTCTGAATACGGAATAAAACATGTGACATTAGAAGACCAAGTTCCCGCCTGAAACCATTCAGTGCGCTATCATCTGTTCAGAGCTGAAGAAGGTTTAGAAAGTAGAAGTTTAGAAAGTGGAAACTCCACAAACAGCTGAACCCAGCAGGAAGCATGTTAAAACCAGTCAGATACCAGAAGTGACACCGAACTCTCATTAATATTAATGACAACATGCTGCTGCTTCAGTAAAGGACAAATCAGGACAAACAGTAAATACAGTAAAACCTTGGATTGCGCATATAATTCGTTTTGTGTATGGTTAAATGCAGTTCCAAGATGGCGCCACTGTTCATGGTTTGCCGTCGGCCTCACCGGTGTATGTTACTGTTTTCGCTGTTTTTGCTGTTTCTCTCCACAGTCACTCAGAATGCATCAGCTCTACTAAATGTACGATCGTGCTGCCCTTCTTAATATTCATTTGTCTACGGAAAAGTGTCCCAGTGTAACAGGCTGGGATAACTCAAAGACTGTCCCACCATTACTGGCGAAGATACCAGCATACAGTCAGGGAAAAAAATTATTTGAACCCCAGCTGATTTTGTAAGTTTGCCCACTAACAAAGAAATAATCAGTCTACAATTTCAATCGTAGGTTTATGTGAACAGTGAGAGACACAACAATAACAAAAAAATCCAGAAAAATACATTACAAAAAAAGTTATAAAGTTATTTGCATTTTCATGAATGAAATAAGTATTTGATCCCCTATCAGTCAGCAAGATCTCTGGCTCCCAGGTGTATTTTATACAGGTAACGAGCTGACATTGGGAGCCCTCTCAGCTCGTTACCTGTATAAAAGAGACCTGTCCACAGAAGCAATCAATCAATCCAGATTCCAAACTCTTCACCATGGCCAAGACCAAAGAGCTTTCCAAGGATGTCAGGGACAAGATTGTGGACCAACACAAGGCTGGAATGGGCTACAAGACCATCGCCAAGCAGCTGGGTGAGAAGGTGACAACAGTTGGTGCGATTATTCGCAAACGGAAGAAACATAAATTAACTGCCAGTCTCCCTCAGTCTGGAGCTCCATGCAAGATCTCACCTCGTGGAGTTTCAATGATAATGAGAACAGTGAGGAATCAGCCCAGAACTACTTGGGAGGAACTTGTCAATGATCTCAAGGCAGCTGGGACCAGAGTCACCAAAAAAACAGTTGGTAACACACTACGCCGTGAAGGACTGAAACCCTGCTGTGCCCGCAAGGTCCCCCTGCTCAAGAAAGCACATCTACAGGCCCGTTTGAAGTTTGCCACTGAACATCTGACTGATTCAGAGGAAGACTGGGTGAAAGTGTTGTGGTCAGATGAGACCAAAATCAAGCTCTTTGGCATCAACTCAACTTGCCGTGTTTGGAGGAGGAGGAATGCTGCCTATGACTCCAAAAACACTGTCCCCACCATCAAATATGGAGGTGGAAACATTATTTTGTTTGCAAGAGTACACTTGTGAACTGTGTGTCCCCGTGATGCCGGAATACTCATTTCTTGTATTAATATATAAGAACAACTCTCATTAACCCACATTTACTGTAATGTGGCAGTGTTAGCCAGCTGACTGTTTTTATTTGCAGTCATGGGGTGAGTGATGGAGCAGCCTTGCCTAGGAACAAGACAAAATATAGTATTTGAACCCAGCCCAGGTAAGACATACAGTCAGGGAAAAATTATTTGAACTCCAGCTGATTTTGTAAGTTTGCCCACTAACAAAGAAATGATCAGTCTACAATTTCAATGGTAGGTTTATGTGAACAGTGAGAGACACAACAATAACAAAAAAATCCAGAAAAATGCATTACAAAAGAAGTTATAAAGTAACTACAGGCCTGTTTGAAGTTTGCTATGAATGAAATAAGTATTTGATCCCCTATCAGTCAGCAAGATCTCTGGTTCCCAGGTGTATTTTATACAGGTAATGAGCTGACATTGGGAGCCCTCTCAGCTCGTTACCTGTATAAAAGAGACCTGTCCACAGAAGCAATCAGTCAATCCAGAGTCCAAACTCTTCACCATGGCCAAGACCAAAGAGCTTTCCAATGATGTCAGGGACAAGATTGTGGACCTACACAAGGCTGGAATGGGCTACAAGACCATCCCAAGCAGCTGGGTGAGAAGGTGACAACAGTTGGTGCGATTATTCGCAAATGGAGGAAACATAAATTAACTGCCAATCTCCCTCGGTCTGGAGCTCCATGCAAGATCTCACCTCGTGGAGTTTCAATGATAATGAGAACGGTGAGGAATCAGCCCAGAACTACTCGGGAGGAACTTGTCAATGATCTCAAGGCAGCTGGGACCATAGTCACCAAAAAAACAGTTGGTTACACACTACGCCGTGAAGGACTGAAATCCTGGCCTGACCGCTGCACTGCTACAGCCTTATTTGGGTGGTGCGTTTCTACAAAATTTTGCAGTTTCCCACATTTTACACATCTCCCTTATAAAATCTTGCGATATCGGCCACTTGCATACCTCGCTCATCCTTCTCGATGATTTCCTTTTTAACTTCCACCGTAATAATCTCCTTTTTCTTGCCGCCTTTCTTTTCAAACCTTTATTTTATCTTCATCGGGGCCATTGTTGCAGTGCAGATACTGACTATACGAGTGAGGCAGGAGAACCATCAGCTCAGCAATGACGTGACGCTCGGCAGACAAAGCGTACAACTACTCCTGTTGCAAGAACTTGCTCGTTTATCAAGTTAAAATTTATATTAAAAAAAAACATTTTTTTGCTCGTCTTATAAAACCTCACAGACCAGGTTACTCGCAATCCAAGGTTTTACTTGGGGCAACTGTGGTGCAGTGGGTAGAGCAGTCATCTCCCAACCAGAGGGCTGAAGGTTCAAATCTCGGTGCCTGCAGTCCACATGTCGAAGTGTCCTTGGGCAAGACACTGAAACCCCAAGTTGCCCCCGATGGTTAGAGCCATCGGTTGAGTTGGCGCCACAGATGGCTGCCTCAGTTCTGTACTGGAAACAAATTCTTTGTGTGTATAACATACTTGGCCAAATAAGGGTGATTATCCTGATTATTGTAGTTTATCAAAGTGTTGGAGCAGCTGTGTAATTGTTATTGTCTGATAGATTAGAACAATAACCAACCCACTGTGTAAACACTGGACCAAACCACAGAAGAACAGAACGATTTCCCATGAAGCTCCTAAGTGTGGATCAGTAGAATATCAGCCTTATGTCTGCAGTTTGGTGTCAGCACAACTTTCACATCAGATTCATCTCAGCACAAAACTAGAACATGGTGTCTGACCTCAGAGTCTCCAGTTGACAGTGTGGACTCTCCAGAAAACCACACAGCTGCTTCACTCCTGGATCCTGCAGGTCGTTTCCACTCAGGTCCAGTTTTCTCAGATGGGAGGGGTTGGACTTCAGAGCTGAGGTCAGAGAAGCACAGCTGGATTCTGACAAACTGCACTCCCACAGTCTGAATAAAGAATAAAGCATTTAGATGAAGTCATTGATAATCCAATCAGATGTGTCCTAATCAATGAGCAGAGCCACTTTGTCCTTCTGTTATTCTAACGTTTCTGATCAGATCAATACCTGCAGCTCACTGAGCTCAGAGCTGTGAATCAGGAGCTCCATTATCAATCAGATAGTTTGTGAAGAACCAGGTGTAAATGTCACAATGTTCCAGCTGTTATTTCACTGGGTCACAACAATCAATACCAATCAGTGATCAATATGTCCCATCTGCTGCTGCTCAGCTCGGAGCTACAGGTCGTCAACATTCATTCTGCTGCTTCATTAATGTCCATGTTGATCCATTTAGTAGGAGCCAGTAAAAACTGGAGGATCTGACTTGTCACTCAACAACAGCTGATTTCAGGTCTGAGCCGAGTCTCTGACTTGGACTGATTTACACCTGGACTGACTCACACATGGTGAAAGCTAGCTCCAGACTTACTAACAGGTCTGGAAGGATCCAGATGTGATGACCTGACTCTAATGGACATGGGAGTCGCTCAGTTCCAGTAGAAGTCCTTCATATTAACTGACTGTTTGTCAAAGCCACTGGACGTTTTCTACAGTCTCTGGAGAAACAGCTTCTCCCCGA